ACCGCGCGCAGGTAACGCGACGGGAAACAAACGGAAAAACATACGAGACTGGAGCCCGCGCGTCTCCTCGTCTGGAGCTGGCCGAACGGCCAAGCGTCTTCGCGCGAATTTCGTGGATCGGCGCTGCGCCCCCCCCCCCCCCCCCCTCCTCGCGCGGGGCGCGCCGAGGGCAGCGCCAGGGCGCCGCCAAGGGCCAAGTCAAGTCCGGTCGAAGGGGCTGGAGGCTGGAGGCCGCTCGCCCCGCAAGCGGAGATGTGGGCGCGAAACTACGCGGAGGGAAAACGCGCGTGCAAGAGAAATGGGGGGCATCACAATCGATGCGCAACTCGATCTCGCATCGTGCGTTCCACCGCGTCATTCAAACATGCAATATCCAACCGCTGCCGGGGGAATGCTCTCGGCGCCCTGCAACGTGTCGTGTGCTTATCTCGTGCCTCGCTCTTGTCCTGAGACAGAATCGGCGTTTTCGCGGCAGGCCTCGGCGTCGAGCGTCGAACTCCGGGCGCCGCCAGCGGCAGGGCGCGCCGCAAGGCGCCGCCGGGGGCGACCCATCGCAACGAGCCAGTCTGACACTGGAAAAATGCCTAGAACGACGCGCACTGTCAGCTTGCAACGCCGCCCCGCCCCCCCCCGACTTTCGCCGGGATGCTCGTTGAAACCGACCATTGCGCGGTATTGTTGCTCGCGCGGGCGCAATCCGCGACCGATGGGCTGCCGCCGCTGCTGTCGTCGAGAGAGCGCGGGCCGCGGTGCGCGCAGCGACCGCGTCGAATAGTCTCGGGCGAAGGCGCAGCGATATAGTTTTATTCAACAGAGCTGTTTCGCGAAAGTGGAACCTGCCCCATGCGCGCCCCATGCGACACTTGATGCTGCAATCTGAAATGCTGCGCAAGTCCCCATCCGAATATCTCACCGATATACTTGCGAATCACCTGTGGCGCCATGACAGGCAACTGGCGCCCAGTAAGACGCAGCACGAGGGGCTCTTCCACGTTGGACACAGAAGCGTCGCCAGTGAATGCGCGCGACTTGCCTGCGTTCAATGAGAGGCCGCGCGCCGACAACTCTTCCGAAAGATTGTCCAGCGCGCGAGTCGCCTCTGCGGCAGAACGCGCACGGTGAACTGTCAGCCGCGTGCAGGATATTGCCGAATAATTTGGCGTCTCCAACGTCGAGGCCGCGCTGCTGAGCTCTGATCTTGAATCGCCGGATCGCGTGCCCCAGTCCACATTTGAAAAACAGCGAAGACAAAGCAATGCACCGTTTGACTCCGCGCGTCATGTCGCGCGCCGCGCTGCCACTGGCGCTGCCCAATTGGCGGGCGCTGTAGATGTCTGACGAGAGCCGCGCGCATTCTACATCAACACCCTGCGCCGCCAACGCTTATGCTCCAGCCTGTCGAAAGATTTGATGAGATCGGTGCTGGCTATCCACGGTGGGGGCCGCCACTCCCGGGCCTTCGCGCAAAGATCCACGAAACCGACGCACGCGCCGCCCACGGAACGGCGCGGTCGAAATCCTACTTCGCCACGCGCCTGTAAAACGGGTTGCAAACGCGAGAGACCTAGGCGAGCGAACATCCTATATGTCATGCGTAAAACCGCAATGGGGCGCCAGCGCTTTGCATCGCGCCTGTTGCCCGTCTTCGGCAGCATGGTAAAACTCGCCCCCGTGCCGCGCCCCGCGCTGAGCAGCGCGCTCGAGCGCGACGAGAGGCGCCCGCGCAGAGCACCGACGCCAAACGCAAAACATCCAAGGGCGACGCCGCATCTGTCCGCGCACTTCCCGCGCTGCATGCGCTTCAAGGCCTGCCGCAACTCTTCTATGCGAAACGGCGCGATGTCACGCGGCCCTCGCCGCAATGCGCCGCTGCCCACTCGCGAATGGCAGCGCGGCGGTCCATGGGGAAAATGTGTTCGAGCGAAGACTTAAACGCATCGTGATCAACTGGGCGAAGCTTGCTCTGCTGCGTCGGAAACGCGCGCGCGCGAAGCAAGTGTTCGACGCCTTCAAATGCCCGCAGCTGCGGACCAGCGCGCTCGTCGCAACGCCCGCGCGCGCGCTTCCACTGCCCCCGAGACATTAAACTAGACAGTGTGGACCTTTCTTGTGGGCCGCGTGTCTCGCGCCTCCTCCGGCGCAGCTCCCGCATTTCAGGCGCGCCCCATGGCTTCGCGCGCGAGCGACCCGCGCTGCCATTTGTCGCCGCTTGCCGGGCTGGCGCCGCGACGCGGCCCTCCAGATCCAAAATGAAGACGGCTGAGATTCAGACAGAGACTCCTGCGCAATCCTCTCATAAATCGAATCCCGGCCATCGCGAGCCGCGCTGCGCTGCCAGCGTCGAAAGGCTGGGCTTACTTCAAACGCCCCGTGAACTGCTCGACGGTTAGAGCCCAAAGCGAAAAAGTCACTCGGGCAGCAAGACTGTCAGTGAAACGAAAGCATTCAATAGCATATCGTCCATGGCCCTCTTGGCGCCCAATGAACTTCGAAACGTCCATGCATCAGGCGCGCGCCGAACAATGCAGAATTCTAAACCGTTCTCGGGACAAATCATTTGTAATGAGCACCCTCTTTCACCGAATTCAAACTGCGCGTTTTAATCACCTGCTATGCATGTTGTCCAGCGTCGCCTCCAAACAAAATCGATCTCCTGCTGTAGAAATGTGTAACATGGTATTAGATCATCGCGCGGGTGCCCAACGTGTGGCATGTATGCAGAAAGGAACGTGCAAGCACTGCCGTGGATATCAATGTCCAAGTGCTCGGCCATATTGCGCACGTGTAGCTATGGCGCCCCCCGCGTGCCGAACATGCAAACAAAGAACCGCCTCTGCGTATCTAGATGGGCCAGATGCGGTTTTGAAACGGTGCCCCCCTGTCGAGGTCAATGTCGTCCGGCGCTGCACGGGTCTCGCAAAAAAAAAAAAAACATTCCACGTTAACTCCGAAAGCTCCCCGAGCAAAAGCCCAAACCGATCAATAATATGTACACGTGCACGTTTGCCGTAAACGTTCAACTCAAACTTAACATCGACCGGCGTCCCGGTGAAACGTCTCCTGTACCCCTCGACCGGCGTTGTTCCTAGCTGCGGCCGTCGGCTTCAGCACGGGCAGGTGGAGGACGATATGGTGCTCCAGCTCGCTGTCGTCCTGCCTTGCCGCCACCTTTTCCCACCTTGCCTTTGCCCTTACCCTTGCCCATGCCGCCTCGCAGAACTTTTCGAAGTGCGTTTTCGAAAATTATTGCCACTCCGGGTCTGCGCTCAGGTACTGCTCCCGGCTGTCGCCGTACTTGATATTCAAAACTCATGCCGTCGCACTCGCCTCTAACACGATATCGCCCCCCATCGTCATCTTGCCTGCCTCCGGATCCACCCAAAACTCCCTCTTCCCGACCCACGCGACGGATCATTTCTTTGCGCTGAATAAGGAAAAAAGACTGGGGCACGCGGGTCTCGAGAGGGGTCCAACAAAAAACAAAAAAACGCTGACTTAAAATGAATTAGAATAGGCCAAAAAACCGACGTGCTGGGAACGCCTAGTTGCAGGCGAAGGATCCCGCCGACGGCCTCTGGAACGCCTCTGGAAGTTCCCTATGGGAAGACGGAGAGGCCCTTGGGCCCTTCCCCGCTGCGAGCGGCACACCAAAAAGGGCACCGTGGAATAATCTCCGCGTCGCCACAATAAACGTTTAAACTCCACGGCCACCTCAGCACCGCCACTTGCCCCTTGCCGCCAGGGCAACCTTAACTCCTCTACTATCCACTACCTGCCTCGGCCCTCAACGTGCATCTTGCAGCCAGGGCAACCTGCCTCTTTCCGCCAAGGCAACATGCCTCTTGCCGCCAAGGCAACGCGCCACCGCCGCAACCGCACCCCTGCGGGAGACACACGGGCACCTCAGACGAGGGGGACCCTGGGCGCTCTCCACGGCGCTGGCCCCAAGGAGTTAATAGACCCGAAGGAGAGACGACCCGACTCAGCCACAAGAAAACCTGGCCCCTGAGGGGCCCGCCCACCTTTGCATCACCGCCACGCCACAGTTTTGCTGCCGCCGGCTCTCACCACTACTTTCCTCCCGAGGTGAAGACTGATGATGCTGAAGATCTTCATTTCCCTTCTCGTCCTCCTGTCCTGCAGGGCCCCGGCTCTAGTGTTGTCTTCTCGTCTACTCCCCCAGAGGGGGCCCGACCATGCCCCCTCTGGGGGACGCGGCAACGGTCGGAGAACACCATTGCCGACAGGGTGCAGGATACAGGAGGAAGGGAGGAGGAGGAAGAGGAAAAGGAGGAGGAGGAGGAGGGGGAGGAGGAGGAGGAGGAGGAGGAGGAGGAGGAGGAGGAGGAGAAGGGGGAGGGCCCTCGCGAGGGAGGAGGAGGAGGAGGAGGAGGAGGAGGAGGAGGAGGAGGAGGAGGAGGAGGAGCGGAAAAGAAAAGGTCGAGCGGCAAAGAAAAGGCGAAAATGCCCGCGCAAGGGCCTGCCGGCTCGCCCCGCCGCTATTCTGGGAGGGCTCGAAAAACAGCACTGCGCCTCATCTCGGCGTCTGCACTGCGTGAGGGAGAACGTCGGGGGGGAACCGCCTCAGGGTGTGAAGCATCGACCTGGAATCGGCGCCACAACGTCGATAGATCGGCGACCGGCCCCCGAGGGCGAAGCCGCATAGCCAAGGGCGGGAGGGGGCCGTTGGGCTCCTAATCGCTGATGAGTGGGCGATTGGGGGCCGATGCCCCCCCCCTCTCCCCCCGCTTAGCTTCTACCCTGGTCGCTTTCGGCTCATAACTCGGGCCCTCTCGGCGGAAAGCGCCCCCCCGAACGCCCTCGGAGAAGGCTTAGCCGCTGGAGGAACTGCCGAGAACACACGAGGACGCCTCACAACCTCACACCTCAAACCCTCCGCCAACTTACCCCCCCTGGCGTCGCCCCTGTCTTCGCTGAGAAAGAAGGCCGAGGCGTCAGATCTCTGGGGCGCGGCGGGGCGGCGGGCGCGGCTGCGGGGCCTCGCGCGAGCGGAACATCACGAGGCGGCCGCACCGCGGCGCCACGTCGACCTGGCGGCCCGCCCGCCAAAACCCCGCTGTCGGCTGGCCAGGGGGCAGCGAGGGAGAAGGGGCGGACGGAAGGCCAGAGCCCAGACAGGCTCGCGTCATGCAAGCGCATGGCTGGAAATTGCTGGCAGCGTGCGGTCTCCGAGGGCCCTCGCTGGGCCTCGGAGCCGTCCAAAAAGCGGGTCGGCACGACGAGCTGGCCGTGGGAACGGCGATCGGGACTTCCAGGGGCCGCGTATGAAAAACACAAGAAGCAAAACATCACATGCCCAGGGAGGGGGGAGGCAATGGGGAAGCAGGGAGGGAGGGGGCAGGGAGGGTTCTCGGCCTTTCTCCTCCCACCCCGCGTCGGGCGGGCAGGATATCGGTTAGAGCGGGCGGGCGAGGCGAAGCCACGGCGAAGCGAAATTCGCGAAGCGAGACTGTTCCCGCTGTTTCTTCCTCCTCCTCCTCCTCCTCCTCCTCGTGTTCGTCTTCTTCCTCCTCCTCCTCCTCCTCCTTCTCCTCATCTCGAGACGGGCCTCCTGTGCGCCTCGGCCCTCCTGGCCTCGGGAATGGGGGGAAGAAGCACGGGGGCCGAGACACACAAAGACGCGCACGGGTAATTCGTGCTGCCACACGCGTGCGCCTGCGTACTCGTGCGCACAAGTACTGCAACGACGACGCGCTCATGTCTGCACATGGTAATGCGGAATCGTTTGAATGGGTCTCTTTTTTGCCCGAGGACGGGCGGACGGACGCGCGGAGACGTCCTGCGGGCGGGGGCCCAAGTCTGAAGCTCACGCCAGTGGTCGGAAGTCTGGAGCTCACGCCCCAGGGCTGCAAGGGCTAGAGGCGTCCAGTTGCCAAACTGAGCTTGAGCTTGGCACCTGGATGAGCTCCATGCCTGTGATCTCACGAGGGGCGGCTGCCAGCGCCAGGCGTCGGCGCAGGTCATAGAAGTCCGCGCGGAACTCCGCCAGTTCATGCTCATGCGATAATTTCTTCTGCGACCCCATATGCCCTCAGAATAGAAGAAAAAAAACGCTATAAACATACACTATTGGCGCTCCGCGCGGATTTCTTGGATCCGGACCAGACCCCCCTCCCTGGCGCGCGGAGCGCGCCAGGGGCGGCGCCAGAGAAGCCGCTGGGGAGGACCAGCGCGGATCCAAGAAATCCGCGCGGAACGCCACAAGTTTATGTTTATGCCGTGTTTTTTCTTCTTCGACGCATGCCCTCAGGAGGGACAACTGAGCGACGAAACGAAGCGGGTCTCACGCACCGTGGCATAGCGCCCTGACGCGGTGGCTCCGGCGGGCCGCAGGCGCGGCACGCTATGTTGGACACGAGGGCGCCTAGAGCCATCGTGCTACCATAAGAAGCACTGGCTCGAGGGGACTTTTTCTGGTTAAGGCGAGCACCGGCCACGAACAGGTTCCCCGACCCAGATCTGGGGAACGGCCCGATAACTATGGCCCCTCTTGAACACAATATTGTCCTTCTTTCAATATCTTGACTGTACACGCGAACTGGCGCCGGAGTCGTGCCCGCGAATGTCTGGCACTCGAACCCGTTTTTCTGCGTCGCTCAGATGCCCTCAGAAATGGCACATGTGGTTCCGCGAGGCCACCTGATGCTCCCAAGCAGCTCCGCGGAGGGCCTCTGACGAGAGCCGCAGTTCACAAAATGCGTCGCGACGACTCGGGCGGTGGATTCTGACACCGCGTGTATCGATCAACCAAGAACGATTGACGGTATTTCGATAGCGCAGATCATTCCATACTGGTCGATTCTGGGCCACTGGAGGCGTCTAACCTGAATGCCCGCGGCGGGGTCGCCGCCGCGTCGACACGACACGGATCCTCCGTGCGCTTTAGAGCATTACTGGCATATTTCCGCTATCCGACGCAAAAAGGCGCTCCGGAGGCCATCTCCGAGGAGCTTCAGGAGACCTCAGGAGACTCTGAGATGGCCCACCATGCCCTCTAAGTATTGGCGCTGCTAGGACGTAGGTGGATAAGAAGGATCTTGTATCAAGCGGACCTGAAAGGAAGGATTGGCATCAGTCTAGCTTCGCCTCCGCGCAGAGGCGCCTAAACTAACGTGACAAAGTATGGGGCAACCCCCGAGGACGCAGAACGAGGGGGAAAGAGGGAACGGGGTACGCGGACCACGAAGCACCCTACCAGCCTCTCACGCGGCCCCAGGGCGCCTTCAAGAAGGCCAGTAACCGTCCGAAGATGGCACTAAGATTTCAGGTGGACGCCCCACTTGCCCCAAGAGGACAGCAATCGAACCCGACAGAGTCCCAATAGGGCCCCCCAAACTGCCCAACAGAGCCATACCCGTACCCCTGCCTACTCACTGATTGAGAGATGTGCGTGCTGACGTACTGCATATATACTGGCAGCTGACACTACTGGCCTCCCTTGGATGCCCAAGAAACCTGACGTACTGGCAACTGCTTCGTTTCTCCGAAACCACCCACAAATCTTCAAATATGCTTCCATGTCGCTCCCAGATTTGCTCCCCCAGGATGCCCCCAATATCACCCCAGTACCCCACCTCCCAGGTACCTCTTTACATCCTTGCGTCCTAAACCTTCTCCCCTTCATGTTCTTACTGTTACTGCTCGTGTTCCTGTAACCCTTTGGAAACCCATCAAAGAATAGAGGCGACATGTGCCACATGTTACGACCTTCTGGGCGGTGTTCGAGGTGTCGCGATGCAGAAAGCTACGCTGGTACGGTGGCGGGACTAGCCGCAAGCGACTGGATGAGCAATACGGGGAAGTCCTCGGGGTAAGCCTACGAAATCTTCTGTGTCGGTGGAGGTGCACGACAATCACCAGTGCAGGTCTCGTCGTCCACGACCTCCTCCTGCTTGATGCTGATCACCGCCTGCTTTCCCTGATCCTCCCGATTTATAGTGATGGCGGGGGTCACCTCCTTGCCTTCGTAATCCGCCGCCACGTCTGTGTTGGCTGGTGTGTTGGGCCTTCGCTTTTCCAAACCATCCTGTGGTGTTGGGTCCTCGTTTTCCCAACCATCCTGTGGTGTTGGGTCATCGTTTTGAAGAGACAGCGCCCCGCGTCCCACCTCCTGTCCTCCTCCTCCCCCTCCTCCCCCTCCTCCCTCCTCCCCCTCGTTGCCTCCGCTCTCGGCAAACCTCTCACACGTTTCGTGGCCCCATAGGGAGCTCCACCGAAAGCCCCAACGGTTGCTCTCGCGTGCGGTTCCCCCACCCAGGGCAGCGTTTCGTGGCCCCATAGGGGGCTCCACCGAAGGCCCCAGTGGCTGCTCTCGCATGCGGTTCCCCCACCCAGGGCAGCGTTTCGTGGCCCCATAGGGAGCTCCACCGAAGGCCCCAGTGGCTGCTCTCGCGTGCGGTTCCCCCACCGAGGGCAGCGTTTCGTAGCCCCATGGGGGAGCTCCACCGAAGGCCCCAGCGGTTGCTCTCGCATGCGGTTCCCCCGCCCAGGGCAGCGCTTCGTGGCCCCATAGGGAGCCCCACCGAAAAGCCTCAGTGGCTGCTCTCGCATGCGGTCCCCCCGCCCAGGGCAGCGTTTCGTGGCCCCATAGGGAGCTCCACCGAAGGCACCAGTGGCTGCTCTCGCATGCGGTTCCCGTACCCAAGGCCGCGTTTCGTGGCCCCATAGGGAGCTCCACCGAAGGCCCCAGCCGCTGCTCTCGCATGCGGTTCCCCCACCCAAGGCAGCGTTTCGTGGCCCCACAGGGACCTCCACCGAAGGCCCCAGTGGTTGTTCTCGCATGCGCTTCCCCCACCCAGGGCAGCGTTTCGTGGCCCCGTATGGGGGCTCCACCGAAGGCCCCAGTGGCGCAGTTCGCATGCGGCCCCCCGTCCCATGGCAGCGCTTCGTGGCCCCATAGGGAGCTCCACCGAAGGCCCGCCCCAGTGGCGCAGTTCGCATGCGGTTCCCCCACCCAGGGCAGCGCTTCGTGGCCCCATAGGGAGCTCCACCGAAGGCCCGCCCCAGTGGCGCAGTTCGCATGCGGTTCCCCCGCCCAAGGCAGCGCTTCGTGGCCCCATAGGGAGCCCCACCGAAAGCGGCACCCACAACGCGTTACGAACAATTGCTTATGGTTGGGTCCTTCGCAAGGATAATTGAAGAGACAACGCCCCGCGTCAACCTCCTTCCTTCCTGTTCCTCCCCCTCCTCCCTCCTCCCCCTCCTTGCCTCTGCTCTCGGCACACCTCTCACACGTTTCGTAGCCCCATAGGGAAGCTCCACCGAAGGCCCCAGTGGTTGCTCTCGCATGCGGTTCCCCCACCCAGGGCAGCGTTTCGTGGCCCCATAGGGGGCTCCACCGAAGGCCCCAGCCGCTGCTCTCGCATGCGGTTCCCCCGCCCAGGGCAGCGCTTCGTGGCCCCATGGTGAGCTCCACCGAAGGCCCCAGTGGCTGATCTCGCATGCGTTCGCCCCACCCAGGGCAACGCTTCGTGGCCCCATGGGGAGCTCCACCGAAGGCCTCAGTGGCTGCTCTCGCATGCGCCTCCCCCGCCCAGGGCAGCGCTTCGTGGCCCCATAGGGAGCTCGCCCCAGTGGCTGCTCTCGCATGCGGTTCCCCCACCCAGGGCAGCGTTTCGTGGCCCCATAGGGAGCTCCACCGAAGGCCCCAGTGGCTGCTCTCGCGTGCGGTTCCCCCACCGAGGGCAGCGTTTCGTGGCCCCATGGGGAGCTCCACCGAAGGCCCCAGTGGCTGCTCTCGCATGCGGTTCCCCCACCCAGGGCAGCGTTTCGTGGCCCCGTAGGGAGCTCCACCGAAGGCCCCAATGGCTGCTCTCGCATGCGGTTCCCCCGCCCATGGCAGCGTTTCGTGGCCCCATAGGGAGCTCCACCGAAGGCCCCAGTGGATGCTCTCGCATGTGGTTCCCCCACCGAGGGCAGCGTTTCGTGGCCCCATAGGGAGCCCCACCGAAAGCGGCACCCACAATGCGTTACGAACAATTGCTTATTGTTGGGTCCTTCGCCATGATAATTCCCAAGCGTCCACAACGCCCCGCGTCCTTACCACACCCGCTGCCCTCCTCCTCCCTCCCGCCATCCCTGCTTCTACCATCCGCAGGTCCATGTCGGGACACCCATCGCACGTTTTGTGGCCCCATAGGCCCATCATAAGGAGCTCTTCCGAAGGCCCCACTGGCACCGCTCGCATGTGAACGATTCGTGGCCCCATAGGGAGCCGCACCGAAGGTCTCAGAAACAATTTGCACGTGGGGGTCGCACCCGTTTCGGGGCTCCCTTCACACGTTTCGTGGCCCGAAAAGGAGCTCCACCAAAGGCCCCAAAAGCACCGTTCGCAAGTGGGCGTCACGCCCGTTTCCGTACGCCCCTCACACGTCTCGTAGCCCCATAGGGAGCTCCACCAGAGGCCCCCATGGCACCGTTCGCATGTGGGCGTCGCACCCGTTTCGGCACACCCCTCACACGCTTCGTGCCCCCATACGAAGCTCCCCCTCCTTCGTCCCACCTGCCTTGCGGGACCCACACTCGCATATGGTTGGGTCCGTCGCCAAAGTATTTGCTTGATGTTCCTGGGGCCTGGCGAGAGCCCAACCGTCCGCTGCTAGTTTTTCACAACGCGAGGGGGTGCGGGAGGGACGCTCGGCGGATCCAAGCGGCAAAGCGACTGTGGATACCAGAGCGCGCTGCTCGACACGGCCAACAACCCGTGCACGCGCCCAGCGCGGAGGTGCACCACCTCTCGGGCCCCCCAACACCGTGCGGTGACGGACCTGAATTCACCGTCACGTCGCACGGTTTTCGGGACCCCATGGAGGTCCCAACCGCCCGAGACGTCCTCGGAGAGAGCGGCCTGCCCCGAATCCCCACCGACTCACCACACCGGACATCCTCCGGATGTTCGGTTTCCGGGCCATGGCTCGGGCACGCGGCAGCCGTTCCGGACGCTCTGGGCATCCCTGAGAACGCTCTCGGCGAGGCGCAGCTGCTGAAGCGCATCCTGCGGCAAGACACCCCCCAGGAACCCACGGAGATGTGAGAAAACGTGCGCAGGAAAACGGACTCACCACACGGGGTGGCCACCGCACCGATGGGGGGCCCCCGCCACCTGGCCAGGCCCCAGCGTGGTGCGGCCGGAAGCGCGCGCGATCTCGATAACGGCCAGCTGGCCGTGCAGCACGCGCAGCTCCGCGGGCGAGCCGTCCGCGGTCACCGTCGCGTGGATGTACTGGGCGTTGGCGCCGCCCTGGGCCTGCCACGCCAGACGTCATGAACACGAGAACGGCGCTCATGCACCGTACCATGATTGGACTCCCTTCAGGCCTCGCTCCAACGCAGCACGGTGCATAGTGTGTTGGCTCCGAGGGCCGAAAAACTATGCACCGTATCGTCCCTGGATCGAGGATCCACGACGCCTCGGGAGACGCCAACGCGGTACGGTTTACAGAAGTCGCCCGCGGGCATTAGGAGGCAACTCCTGGGAGGTCTTCGTAAGACTGCTGAAGCGCTATTAGTTTGAGAGGCCATCAAGGCAGATTTGGCCTGATTAGGCCCTGAATTAAGCCCGACTGCGCCAAACTGACCTGGTTCAAACGGGACTCTGCTGGAGTGGTCCGGTTGCCGACCATGGATCTACCAGCCCCGATGCTGAATTCAACCTCCCAGAAATTGCATCCTAACAGACAAGCTCGCGTCGTGAAAACGACAAGCACGGCGGGCAACTTGTGACCATGTTCTGCCTCTGGCAGCCCCCGACGGGCCCCGGGACGCACTGGGCCTGGGGAAAGCGTCGGGACTTCCGGGGACCGCGTATTGAAGACGTCAAGACATCGGATGTATGGGATGCCTGCTCGTCGTCCAGCCCGTCCGCCATGAAGAAGACCGTCCTGCCGCGCGCCCTGGCGCGCGCTGCGATCGACCCATACGCCTGCCTCCACGAGGGCGTGCGGTACCGCCACAGGCGCGGGCGCACCCACGGCGCAAGTGGGACGGGCTTGTCGAGCGTGGCGCGGACCAACGCGGCTGCCGCGTGAAGCCACCAGTCGACGTACGACGCGTTCTCGGGCGCGAGCAAGCACGCATCGGTGGCGCCCGGCCGCGCGCCAGGCTGTGCGGCGGGATTGTGCAGCCAGTGCATGCACGGCCGCGGCACGCTGAGCAGGTCGACGGTGGGGTCGATGAAGCGCTGGAAGGGCGGGCCGTTGACCTCGAAGAAGGCATCCAGGCTCACGCTGCAGCGCTTCCCCCTGGAGCCGCCGCACAAGGGATCACGCGCGGCGGCCCACCGCGCGGCCTGGTGCGCGAAGTCTTCGTGCTGGGACTCGCCCTTCTTGTCCTGCGAGACTATGCGGACAGGCGCACCGCCTCCGATCGAAGTGACGAAGAGGCGCGTGGGCATCGTGGTGCTCGCGCGCGTCATCATGCGCCACGAGAAGAAGTTGCACTGCGAGCCGAACTGCTGGTCGCCCCTCTCCCAGTCTGCAACGGCGTGGAGGGCACACGGCATCGGCATGAGCAGCGCCAGGCCGAGCACGACCGCGGCGGAGGCGACGGCACACCATCTCGCTGGGCGGCGCGCCAAGGCGGCTGTCATGTGCAGCGCAGCGGCGGGCACGCGCATAATGCGCCGGCCGAGGCGCAGTGGGAGCGGCAGCGAGACGGCCAGCGTGGAGAGCATGACCCATGGGAAGGTCTCGAGCACGAAGAGAGAATGGTTGGACGCGTGAAAGGTAGCTGCCACGAGCGCCGCCGCAGCCGCCAGCCACCCCGGTGGAAGCCACACGCCGACCACCATCACCGCATCCACGCAGAGCCCACCTGCTGGCAGCATCCACCACGGCAGCTGGGCCGCAGCGGCCGCCAGGCGCGGCGTCTTGGACCACGTGGCGAGCAATCGCGAGATCGTCGCGCCCGACATCCAATCCTCGCTCAATTTGGCCACGGCGGCGTAGAAATACACCGCGCTCATCGAGGAAGAAATCCGCAACCGTGCCCCCTGGCACGTTGGAAGAATCTTCCCTCCTCATCCTCCCACTTCTCATCCTCTCATCGTCGACACCGTCATCGCCATGATCGCCCTCATCAGCATGGCCATCCTCACCACCATCATCATCATCATCATCATCATCATCATCATCATCCTCATCATCATCCTCATCATCATCCTCAGCATCAGCATCAGCATCAGCATCATCAGCATCGTCATCAACATCAGCAGCAACATCAGCATCATCAGCATCGTCATCAACATCAGCAGCAGCATCGTTATCAACATCAGTCTCACCAGCATAACCATTTTCATCAACATCACCTTAACCATCGTCATCATCCCTCATCATCATCGTCACCAGCATCATCGTCATAACCATCATCAAACTCATCGTCGTGACCTGCATCATCATCAGCATCATCATCATCACCACCAGCATCAACATCAACATCACAATCAGCATCACCACCAGCATCAGCATCATCAGCAGCAGCATCAGCACCAACAGCAGCATCACGCTCACCATCATCATCATAATCATCATCATCATCGCCATCATCATCATCAACATCATCATCATCATCACCATCATCATCATCATCACCATCATCATCATCGTTATAATCATCACCATCGTCGCCACCATCGTCATCATCACCATCATCATCAGCATCATAAAAATCATAATCATCGTCATCATCATCATCGTCATCAACAGCATCATCATCATCATCAACAGCATCAGCATCAGCAGCAACATCAACATCAAGATCAACATGATCAATATGATCATCATGATCATCATGATCATCATGGTCATCATGATCATCATGATAATCATGATCATCATCACCATCATCACCATCATCAGCATCATCATCATCATCATCATCATCCTCACGGATCCAAACAACTGCCACCGAGAAAATTGATAGGGCACGGAGGCGGGAACGTCCGCAAACATATGGATAGTGACATACACATAAACTGTCGGAATTCCGCGCGGATTTCTCGCGGCGCCTCGGGCGCCGCCCCTGGCGCGCTCCGCGCGCCAGGGAAGGGAGGGCTCCAGCGTCGATCCAGGAAGTCCGCACGGAGCTCCACACATTCACGTCTTATGCCATGCTTTGCTCCTCGAGCTCACGAGCAGTTTCAGCAGCCACGGGTCGAAGCCGCGCCACGCAGGCGCAGCAGCGGCGGCGGCCGAGGGCGCCCCGGAGGGCGCGGCGCCCAGGGAGGGGCCCAGGAGCGCGGCGCCCCAGAGGGGGAGGACGCCCCGAGGCGCGGTCCTCGGCACGGTCGGAGAGGGCGAGAAGGGCGGCAGAATGAGAAGAGGACGCAGCCGCATAAACCTGTAACGTGTATTGTCAGAGGTCCGCGCGGACCGCCACACGTTTTCTGTTGTCGTGCAACGTTTCTTCGAGATTGGCACGCTGCCCAACGGCGGATGCTGTGCAACACCGGCAGCGGCCGCTAGCTGGCAGGCGGCTCTTTTTGTCTCGGGCGGGCGACGTCCGCGGCGACACCGAGAGCGAGCCCGAGCCCTGCCCAGAGTGGGGAATCTGGCGACAAACGGGTTTCCCATAATTCAGATCCTGGCCCCCGCTCGCCGCCGCGAATTATGGGAGATCGCCAGAAACCCTAGGGAATCTGGCGGCCTATTGGTTTCCCACAATTATGGGATGATTGGCGACCCTAGGGAATGCAGGCGGCAGTCGTGTATCTATGGGCTTCCCGTAATTCCGAATTTGGGGAAACGTATAGGCAGCCATATTCCCTAGGGGTTTCTGGAGGCCGATGGGTTACCCATAATTTGCAGGCGAATTATGGGACATTCGCATTCGAATTCGCTCGCGCCATGGGGCCGCCGAGCGGGATCGAGATTCAGAAAGTCGGCAAACCCAGGGGCTGCCAGAAACCCATAGGGAACCTGGCGGCCGATGTGTTTCCTATAATTCGCGGCGGCGAGCGGGGTCCAGATCCCGAATTAGGGGGAACCCATAGGCCGCCAGAAACCACTAGGGAATCTGGCGGCCGATGGGTTTCCCATAACTCGCCCACGCCAACGGCCCCCTGGAATTTCACAGAATCCTGGACGCCGCGCAAATGTGGGACATTCGCATTCGAACTCGCTCGCGCAATGGGGCCGCCGAGCGGGATCGAGATTCGGAGCCAGATTCCCTCGGGTTTCTGGCGACCTATGGGTTTCCCATCGTTCGCGGCGGCGAGCGGGGTCTAGGTTCCGAATCATGGGAAACCCATAGGTCGCCAGAATTCCCGATGAAAACTGGCCACCTATGCGTTTCACATAATTCGCGGCGGCGAGCGGGGTCCAGGTTCCGAATTATGGGGAACCCACAGGCCGCCAGAAACTCCTAGGGAATCTGGCGGCCGATGATAATTCGCGGCGGCGAGCGGGGTCCAGATCCCGAGTTAGGGGGAACCCATAGGCCGCCAGAAACCTCTAGGGAATCTGGCGGCCGATGGGTTTCCCATAACTCGCCCACGCCAACGGCCCCGTGGAATTTCACAGAATCCCGGGCGCCGCGCAATTATGGGACACTCGCATTCGAACTCGCTCGTGCAATGGGGCCACCGAGCGGGATCGAGATTCAGAATTATGGGAAACCTATAGGTCGACAGATTCCCTAGGGTTTCTGGTGACCTGTGGGTTTCTCATAATTCGCGGCGGCGAGCAGGGTCCAGGCTCCGAATTATGGGAAACCGATCGGTCGCCAGATTCCCTAGGGGTGTCTGGCGGCCGATGGGTTTCCCATAATGAGCAGGCGGCAGCCGTCTATCTATGTTATTCCCTTGATTCCGAATTATGGGAAACACATAGGCCACCATATTCCCTAGGGGTGTCTGGCGGCCGATGGGTTTCCCATAATTCGCAAGCGGCAACCGTCTACCTATGGGCTTCCCGTAATTCCGAGGGAACCCCTAGGCCGCCAGATTCCCTAGGGGTGTCTGGCGGCCGATGGGTTTCCCATAACTCGCAGACGGCAGTCGTCTATCTATGGGTTTCCCCTAATTCCAGGGACGAGCTTTTGTGAGGTCGTGTGGGTCGCGTCTGACGCCCTGCGACCTCGGGTTCCCCATAATTCGCCTCTGGCCTATAGACGGACAACAGCCCCCCCCAATCATCACCCCCCTCTTGGCTGCCCCCGACCCCTTCCCAATGGGGTGGCTTTCATGGCTGGCCCTGGGGGCCTGAACAGCTCCTGGTACCCTGGGGCCCAGAGGCGGCCACTGGAGGGCGACATTCCGCAGAAACGCCCAGACTGAAGGACAAGAAGCAGTCCTTCGGGGGAAAAAAAAACGCCGAGAGCCACAACGAAAAACAGAACAGCAGAAACGCCCAGAAACGCCCAGACTGAAAGACAAAACAGAAACAACTGGGTGAGCCTTCATGGGAGCCTCTGTGGACCTCCGAGGCCCTATCATGAACGTGATTTCGGCCAGATTTAATCCAGGTTTCAACCGTCCCTCTTCACCCTTTCGTTCACCCTTTCGTCCAGATTTCGTTCAGAAATGCCGATCGAATCCAACGAAATTCTAAAAAAACCAGACCGGACGGAAATTTGGGACCCTCTGAGGCTCCCAGGAAGGACCACACAATCGGAGGTCTCGGGGAATGCGTGCCCCTGGCCCAGGATGCCCCCAGCTTTCCGCTCCATTTTGGAGCGGGGCCCTGGGCCTCGTGAAGGGTGCTCTGGAAGCCACGGGGGCCTCCTCGGAAATCGTGGGGGCACCTTGGGCCAAAGGCACCTCTCACAACACCCGAGTCTGGGCAAGCCGGAACCGCACCGAGCGGTCCATTCCGGAATGCTGCCCCAGTTGCAGTCCACCACGCCCAGGTAAGCCACGGCGGCCGCGAAGATCCACAACCCCGTGCTCGCGGGAACGCCGCCAGGCACGGCCGCCTTGTGAGAAGGCACATTCAGTGGGGGACAGGCTCCCGGGGGGAGATATCGATCCAGAATCTGCGATACCTCGCCGGTAGACCTGGAGGGCGCCTCCGCCACCGGCCCTGGCGCGCTCCTCGCACCAGGGAGGGGGTTCCAAAGCAGATCCAGCAAATCCGTGCGGAGCTCCAGCAGTCCATGTTTATGCAGTTCTCTTCTTCGAAGATCGGCCATAGGTTCGCAGTGGCAAAGGCCATCAGGTCCCCATCGGCGATGACTGGGCGATCGGGGGTCGATGCGCCCCCCCTTGAACTTACCTCCCCCTAGCGTTGCCCCCTGGCTTTCAGGTCAGAAGTCGGGTCTCTGGCGGCCGTTCGGGACTATCCTGGCCCCCCAGGAAGCGAGCCGCAACCGCTGGAGAGCACCGAGAGGCCGAGAGGCTGGAAAAGCGCCCGTCACCGACGAAAATGCTTCAGAACCTGAAACCTCGAACCTGTCGTCTGGTAAAACATGCATGTCCCTGGACCTCTCCTGGGGTGCATTCGATCCAGCAGTGGCCACGAGGGCGCGAGTGGGGGCCGATGCATCCACCCCTGAGCATTACCCCTCCCAACGCTTCCCCCTGAACCTGCCCCGAGTCGGCCTCGCAGCCCGCCGCTGGCGCGAGCGCGGCGGCGCCGGCGTGCGCGACAAGCGAATGTTCGGCGCGGTGCGCGTCGCTCACGGCTAGGACGGCACCGATGAGGCCTGGGGGGGGAATGCGTAGGCTCAATGGAGAGGCTAAAGATTTTCGAGCGTTCGATGTTTGGGAGTTTTCGGACATTTTCGAATGTTATCTGCGGTTTTCCAGCCTCGGGATGCCTTTCAGCAGCTGCGCCTCGCCGAGAGTCGTCCCAAAAATGCCCAAATCGTTCCGAACAGCCGCTGGCGGCTCGAGCTATGATCCGGAAACCAAGCTCGGCGGCGCGCCGAGGGGGGTTAATTAGTGAAGGCGGCGGGGCTTCTCAGAAGCCCTTGATGGCTTCGGAGAAGGCATTAAAAACTTCTCAAAGCCCGGGGGCCTTCTGAGCCTTCCGAGAAGGCCCGTCCCCCCTGCCTTCTCCCCAGGGCGCGCCGCCGTCTGGAGACAGAACCAGTCGGCATTTGAATCAGGACGCCAGGCCGGATCGGAGCGTGCGGTGGTTGAGGGTTCCTGGGGACCTCTGGGCCACGTGAGGGGTGCTCTGGAGGTCGTAGGGGGGGGCCTCCTTGGGATCTGGGGTGACACCCCTGGGCTTGACACCTCTGGCAACACCCGAGTCGGATCGGGGCCGGACCGTGCCAGCCGCGGCAAGATAATCACACAGAAGTAGCGCGGACGCGTCGGTCAGCAATGGATCGTCGGAACATCGGAGTCGAGTCGGATCGGGGCCGGCGAGAAATCTGTATCGAATCAGATCGATCAGATCGAACTGGGCGCTGCGGGGAGGACCCAGAGAGCAATCACCAGATGACCGCAGCTGAAAAGACGCAACACAATACAACGAGTAATGGAGGACAGAATAATCACCCACAGAACATGCACACCTGCAAGCACAGGCCTTCGGTAAATGCGCCAAATGGAAAAATCCGCCGACCCCTTGTGGTCACGGCGTGTGAGATGCTTCCCCCTCCCCAAACCCCTCCCCCGGGGGCCTGGTCCGGCCAGTTTGGAGGGGGTGGAGGGTGGGGGGGCAAATCCATCATCCGCACACTTGGAGCCTCAGGGGGCCCCAAAACAGGCCAAAAAGGTTCCAAAGACTCCCAGAACGGTCGAAAAGAGCTACGAATCAACAAAGATCGCCCCCAAACGCCGAAGACTGTCTCCACACGGCTCCATAAGTCCCCAAGACGTTTGAAACAATATTGCGAGGCGCCCCAAAGAGGCCCTCCAGAAGCAAAAATTGTCCAATTCCCTAGGGAACACGTGCATTTTCACCACATTCGCCCAGTCGGCTTCCACGCGGCGCAAAACGGCCCAAGAAGCCTCGAAAATCGACCCTCGCCAGCCCAAGAGGCTTCCAAAAAAGGCTCCAAGACGGCGTCCGGGCGATCCACGAAGTCCCCAGAAACCATAGCCAAAAGGGCTTCAAAACGGGGCAAGAGGGCCCCCAAAGGCTGTCCGGACGGCCCGCGCGGGGAACGATTCGGTCCAAACCACCCAAGATCGCCGCCAGACGGCCCCATGGGTGTCCAAGAGGTTTGAAAACGCGACCACGAGGAGCAAAACCCGTCCCATTCCCCAGGTAAAACGTACATGTTCAGCACGTTCGCATCTTGGGCTTTCACGAGGCCCACAACGGCCCAATAAACCTCCAAGATCGACCCGTGTCACCCGAAGAGGCTCCCGAGAAGGCTCCAAGACGGTTTCCAAGCGATCCATCAAGGCTACAGAAACCATAGTAACGGCTCAGGAAAGCCGCAGGACGGTCACAAGTGGGCTCCAAAACGGGCCAAGAGGGTTCCCAAAGGCTGTCCGGACGGCCCACGCGGGGAACGATCCAGTCCAGACCGCCCAAGACTGCCTCTAGACAGCCCCATGGGCGTCCAGGATGTTTGCACGCGCGACCACGAGGCGCTCCAAGCAGGCCTCCAAAAGCAAAAACCGTCCCATTCCCTAGGTAAAACGTACATGTTCAGCATATTCGCTTCTTGGGCTTCCACGAGGCCCACAACGGCCCACTAAACCTCCAAGATCGACCTCCGGCACCCAAAGAGACTCTCCAAAAGGCTCCACGGCGGCCTCCGGGCGCCCCACGAAGGCCCCAGAAACCACTAAGACGACGCCAGGATCGGGGCAAAGTTTGACCGGGATAAAAATCATGCTTGATTTTTCAAATCACCGGGGGCGCCGCCGAATGGGCCTGCCACGCCTTGGGCGCCATCGGCTTCGCGAGCGAGGAAATGCGCCCCGGCGCGGATGAGGCCACGGCGCGTATTTGGCCACGCGCGCGCCTCAGGGAATTCTGCGCCAATCGCGCCTCGCTCCAGAAGACCCGACGTTAACAAAACAAAATTGAAGCCCCAAGGGGGCCCCAAGGAGGCGGACCGCCAAACCAGTCACGCAACCAACGCAACGAAAAACATGTAAATGTCAAAAAGCGTGTTACTCAGTGACCTATTCGGCCGTGCAACACCGCGATAACGCGCGAGAAGGCATTGCAAAAAAGGCCCGCGCGCGGAACGGCGACGTCCCCGCGCCGCCCCAGGCGCCCCGAAGCGCGCCGAAATAACCGCAGAGAAAACCCGGAAAGTCTCTGGAAGTCCCCGCGCCAGGCAAGATCCGCCACCGAATAATTTCGCGGACACCTAGCGCGCACGCGCGGGCGTCCACCATGGATGCCCGACTCCTGTTTCCGAAACAATCGCGCGCAACCGCCCGGGGGCCTCGGCAACCTCGCGATTGGCCCCGGGGCCCGCGGGCCCCAGGGAATCGAGGACCGAGTTCGCAACTCCCGAAGCACCAGGCGCGGCGCCAGCCGGTCGCTCGTCTCTGGCTGACCATAGGACGCCTGGAAATCCGATAAAACCTGAGGAACCGCTTTTTCAGAGATTCACAAAACCAGCAACCGGGGCGCGCCAAATTCTCGCGTCCGAACTTCTCTGAGAATCTTTGAAAATCTCTGAACTAGCCGCCCCGCCTGAAACATTCCCATAAACCCAAAACCCTGGAGCTGGCCGAAACTCTCTGAAAGTTCTTCGGCCCGCGAAATTTGGCGCGCCTGGATTTCTGGTTCCGAGATTCTCTGAAATCGGCCTGCGGCGGCGCCCAGCAGGTCCACCCGCGCCCAGGGTGGGGGCCGTGGACATCGCGGGCAGCGATGGCCCCGACCACGAGGTCCTTCCCCCTGCCCCTCGACGAGCCCACGCTCATAGACACGCTCTCTGCGCTGAGCGTGGACCGCGCCATCCGCCGGTACTTCTGCGCGACGACAGCCAACTGGCCGCCGACGGACAAAACGATTTTTTATCCGAGCTGCGCGTGCCACCGAAAACGTGCGATTGTCCCGGGCTCGGGGAGAAACACTTTCGAAGCACTTTCAGGCCGCCAGCGTCGCGGCTGCCGACCCGCCGCGCGCCGGCCGCGAGACTAGCTGGGCCCACTGCGTCGACGGCGGCGGGCGGGCGCCCAAGAGAGCTGTCGCCACGGTGCGCGCGGCGGGGCGCCCGCCCCACTGCAACCGCAAATGCGGCCTCCATGGCGCCAAAGGCGTAACATGCGCGACGCATTCTCGGGCCCCCATCAACGCATCGGCCAGCGCCCAAGTCCCTGAAACGCAAACCTACTGCGCCCCCCGCGCAAGCCGCGCACCCGCCCCCAATGCTCGTGCAAACCAGTTTTTCTGCCCGCCTTCAACAGTTCAATCGAGCGCCCATGTGTTACCTGGGCTCCTCAAGCCCTCGAGCACCCCTTGGGGAACTTCTGCGAATGCGCGCGCTACGCCCCACAAATCGGCGTTCTATTTTTCTTTGGAACACTCCCAGAATCTCTGGTTCCGATTTGTCCCGATCTTCCGCTCAACTGAAATGGCAACGGCCCGGGGGAAAGGCAGGACGGTTTTAAGAGGGCTCCAAAACGTGTCTAGAGGGGCCTCACAGGCTGTCCGGACAGGCCACGCGGGGGACGATTGCTGCCGCCCCAAGGGGTCGGCGGCGTGGCGTAAGCCAATGAATCGAACACGGCTGGATTTTTGGGTAGAGGCCCCAGGTTGTTTAGTAAACGTCTGGTGGTGGGGTCGGGTATGTGTTACCCCCCCCCCCTTGAAGAATGCACGGGGAGCTCCTGGGACCCCGGGAGCCCCTGCAGTGTCGTGCCACGCCCTGGCACCTCCCTGAAGATCTCTGGAGGCATCAAAGAGGCACCGGGCGACTCGCCGACACCCCGAGAAGCCAGGCCGTGGCCCTTCCGCAATGGCCTTTTTAGAAGAGCGAAAAGAAACGGCATAAGCATAAGCATTTTGCCGTCCGCGTGGATTTCTTGAATCTGCGCTGGGGCGCCCCCCGACCCTGGCGCGCTCCACGCGACAGGGAGGGGGATCCAGCGCAGATCCAAGAGATCTGCGCCGACCGCCAACAATTTATGTTTATGCAATGTTTTTTCTTCGACTTTTACACCCCGCCGAAGGCCGTACAAATACTCGTGATTGTTCATCAGGCTCGGGTCCTGCAGTGTCACCGTGAGCTTGAGCACCGCGAAGCACCACGCGCCGGCGCGCGATCCAGCGCCCCAGCCAAGTGCCATCAGCGCGGCAGCCGAGCTCATCAGCATGCCATGGACAACCCACGCGGTCTGACTCGCCAGACGCAGCCAGGACGAAAATAAATTCGGGTGGGGATCTATCGAGAATATGGAAGATGTATCGGGCACCGCGGTTTCTCAATCTCAAACCGTTCCGGATCGCCCTGAGAGCGTTCTGGAACGCTCTGGAACGGACTTATCCTCGTCCCAACCCCGTCTGAATCGGGCTCCGAGACCCAGGGCCACGCACGAGCCGCCCGGTGGAGACCGTCGGGCACGCGCGACTCGTAGGAGAAACGCTCGTCGGGCTGAAGCCGGCCCGCTTCGTCTCTGGCCCCAACCTCGGGAAGCAGCTCCTGGGAAGTCTCCGTAAGAACGATTTAGGGCGATTAAGCCCCGACCAAATTGAGCCCAACAGTGAAGCCTGTTTAGACGGATTCAACGGGAGTTGGCCGCGAATGCACCAGCGCCGATGCTGAATTGAACCTCCCGGGAGCTGCATCCTGACCCACCTGCTTGTACATGTCTGGCGCAAGCTCGGTCACGTGCGCCGAGTACACGATCATCAGCCCGCCAAAGGCAACGCGGAAGAAGGCGAGGTTCAGTGGGCCATCGGGGGAGCCACGCATCGGATCGTTGGAGCCACGCATCGGATCGTTGAGCGCTTCACGACTCCTTCTGTCCCTCGGCTCGCCCTGGAGCTTCCAGGAGCTCTCGAGACCTACCTGGGTATCTCTGGATTCGCATCGATTTTGCGTGGACTTGCCTCGACCGCGGTTGGCGTTGGAAAGAAAGCGCGCGACATCGATCTCCGGAAAGCACGCCATCCCTGTGAGGCGATCCCCACCCGAGGGCCCCTTCTGTGCGCGCAATCCCCCTGCCAGGGCTCCTGCGGTGCAAGCCGCCCTCCCCGAGGGGGGGGTGGGACAGCGTGCGTAACAGGCGGTGCAGGGGCGCCACATCGCACGCTATCTTTCCAACGCCAGCCCTGCATGGACAGCAACGGCGCCTCACGGCGCGCTATCTTTTCCAGCGTTCACCCGCAGCCGGAGGCCCCGAGGTCTGGACCAGCTTGTCAACCCTACATCGTTTCCTGACGGCCCCGGGGGCCCGCGGAGGGCCTGGGCCAGGGGGCATATTGAAAACCTGACACTGTCCGTTCCAATGTTGTCTCTAACGCAAGCAGTCATCTGGATGTACCTCCATTTGTCTCGCTCGATCCCCGCACGTCGATCGGGGACGAGTCGTCAAGCCCTTCGAGATCGCAAGAGGCCGTGCGCGGGGCAGAAGAACGAGCGCCCTCCTCGAGCCGGCTGCGCGGTCCGCCTCGAGCCAGGACCGAGGAGAGAACAATCGGCGGCTTGCCCAGGGGGGAAGTGAGAAGGGCCGCCTCAGAAGGCTCGGAAGTCCTTCGGCCTTCTGAGAAGTCTTCTAAGCCTTCCCCGAATACGTAGAAAGCTTCTCAGAGGGTGCGCGGGCTTCTGAGAAGCCCCACCCCGCCCTCTCGCTTCTGCCAAAGGGCTCGCCGCCGAAACAAGAGAACAGAGCGAGGAGAGATGGATCGTTCTCAGCCGAGGGGCACATGGACAGATCGTGCACCCTTGGTGGGAAAACCAGAGAGTACCGATGCCACCACTCCCCGGACCTCTCCTGGGGTGCGTTCTGACCAGGATTTCGAGGCGAATCAAGCGGTGGCGACGAGGGCCTCCCAGGAGGCCCCAAAAAGGGAAAACGAGGGAAGGGTAGTGGAATGAGTACCTGTTCCTCCTCCGAGTTGTGGGACGGAAAGAAGGAGAGTAGATGCACAACACACTGCCTGAATACAATTTTTCAGAGGTCTGCACGGAGTCCTTGCATCGACACTGGGCCGGCCTCCCAGACGCACAGAGGGCGCCAGGGGGTCAGCGCTGAAGGCGCCGCTGGGAGGCCCCAGCGCCGATCCAAGATGTCCGCGAGGACCTCCGAGAAGTTATGTTTATGCAATTCTTTGCTCTTCGCGGAGGACGGGAATTCGCAGGAATTCGATGATGACCACAATGTGGCCACGAACGCACAGGAAGCCAGAGAGCCAGGCGGGTCACCAGAGTGGCTGGCATCCCGCCTGATGATGCCCTCCTCGCGGCCGATCGTGGCCTTCGAGCGGATCTCGTCACCAGGGAGGAAGTCCGTCCGAATCCGCTGAACGTTATCGTGACCCCTCTTGGAAGGGCCCTCCGCGGCAATCTTACCACACGCTGGAAAAAAAACAACCCGAACTTAGGCCGTAAATGCAGGACAGGAGCGGGGGGGGGGGAAGGAAGGAGTGAGGAGATTTGGAAGGAGAAGAGAAATAACTTCTGCCCGAATCGGAATGCTCGGAATCGAACGCCACATCATCTTCGCATCCCACGCCGGGTGCGGCTCTGGGCGGGGGAGGACACGCCAATCCCGACATGTAAGTGGTCACCGCGGTATGCCAGGGAAAAGTCTCTGGAGAAGTCTACTTGTGTGCTGAGAGTACGGGCTGAGAAGTGTGCCACTGTGCGAGACAGCTTGTGGCTTCCGCTTGGGAACCCTCGTTCTCGTCAGAACTTATCCCCGAGCGTCTCCCTCGGACACTGGGGTTCGTCACCAGCTCGAACTCGATCGATAGTGCCGACAGCCGCTATCGCCGCCCCCACCCGATGCCACTGCCGTGGGAGGGAGCCGCACACTTTTAGCTCGAGCCCAAGCGCCGGCGCTGCACACACGCGTGTCAAACTGTTCATCACACAGAATCTACACTCGTGTTATTTTCTTTGACTAAGCGTGGCTCGCGGCAGGCGGGCGCTGGGCATAGCCCTCAGTTCAACAGCAAAAGGCAGGCGTCGTCGCAAACCGCGAAGATGCCCGTGCTCGCCAAAATGGCAGTGTGGTAGTTCTCCACGTGGTAGCTCACGGCGGAGACGTCGAGCTCGTGCCCTGGGCGGAAGTCGCCCTGGTCTCGCCAGAGGCCTTCTGGTACATGTCGCGCAAGCGGATAGCCTTCATCTCGGCTTGCACCTGCTTCTCCTTCTCAGCACGGAGGAGCTTCTCCTGGGCACGATACTCCTTCTCCTGCCGCCACCAGTCGGTGTCGGTGTCCACCAGCAGTGAGCCACACTGCATGCACCTCAGCTTGTCCTTGTACTGGTTGCTCCCTCGGGTCGTGAGCTTCTCTTTCGGGTGCTCGCAGTAGTCTGAGCTGGGGCCGGTCTTGCCCTGGCTCTTTCCCTGGTGGCTGCTGCTGGACCCGTCCATCCTGAACTCCTTGATGTTGACTCCGCGTTGCACCGAGGCGTAGGTCTTCTTGCCCTTCCGGCACACGTCGCAGTTGTTGACGACCACCTCGTACGCCTCCAGGACGCCTTCCTCCAGCACCTCGCCGAAGTCCTCCTCGATCTGCATGTAGGATGCGTGCTTGGTCTTCTCGTGCAACGCGCGTGCCTTCATCATGGCCTTCTTCGTCGGTGTCGTAGACTTCTGCCGCTCCTGGTAGAGTCGGTGTGGTAGCTTTTCCCATTCACCGGCGTCATCGCCGCCTTCGTCGTCGTCACCTGGTACTGGCGGTAGCTCTCCCGGATGGGTTGAGCACGATGATCGCTGGTTGGCCTTCTTGCGGGTTCGCGGTCCACACTCGCACTGATCCACCACCATGCGGCACACTGCACACACAACCACCGTCGCGGCCGCGGCGGCGCCTGACTTGACCTCCTCGGTCTCAGCACCCGCAGCGTCCATCATGTAGATCTCCGCGACCTCGTTGGTGCCGTCCACCTTCACCGTCTCGGCCGACTCCACGATCGCACCAAGATCCTCGGTAACCTCCAGCTTGTCCTGCATGTCGCCCTCGTCGGTCACCTTCGGCTTCTTGATCACGTGCTTCTCCGTGAAGTCCTTCTCGTAGCGCTCGAGGGCGGCCTTGGTCGGCGCATAGATCGTCAGCAGCTTCCGAATCTGCGTGGGGATCCTCCTGCGCTTCGACACCTGGTCCAGGCCAGACCAGTCGACCATCTCCTCAAGCTGCTCGTAGTAAACGTCGTCCTCGCGCTGGCCGAGCGTCATGCGCCATCGGAGGTATGGCTTCGGAGCAGGCTGTAGCACGCGCGCGTTGTACCGAACGTCCGCGATGCACTCCTCGAAGTAGGTGTAGCCTTCGTGAACGTAGTGTTGTTCGGCAGGTCGCAGTCTCTTGGGGTACTTCGCGCGGTAGTACTCGCCCCTGCGTCCCTTGAGCTCCATCCTCTGCTTGGCTATGATCTGGTCGGCCATGAGGTCCTCGGTGAGCCGGTACTCGCCGGTCTGGAGCACGTACCTCATGTAGTCGCCAGCGCGCACGTCGTTCTTGGTGAGGCAGTCGGCGAGCATCTGCTTCGTGTTCACCCACTTGCTCACCACGTTGTTGAACTCCAAGTCATTCCTGAGCGCCTCGATGTCGATCAGCAGCCGCCTCTCGGAGGGTACCGTCCCTCGCTTCTGGAGTAGGTCGTAGAGCGACTTGCAGTCCGTGACCTCCACCATCTTGATGGCCTTCACGTCCTCCATGTGAGTCCGGTAGCCGAGTCCGTAGTGCAGCTCCACCAGGTGCTGCCTCAGCATGTCCCCGCTCTCGACCGCCTCCAGCGCCGCCATCGTCTCGGCAGAGAGGGTGCTGCGGACCACTCGCTTGATCCGGTGTGATCGCCACAGCATGGGCGTGACCTTGGCCGGTCTCCCTTGCAGGAACTTGTCGTCCTTATTGTCCGCGAGCAGGATGACCAAGCCCGCCTGGCTAGCGGTCTTCGTCTTGCCCACGTTGCCGTGGCTGGAATCCCCAACTGCAACCACGATCGCGTCGTCTATGTTGATCTTCTGGAAGGTGATGTCCACGTGGTCCGTCTTGGCGTCGCTCACCAGCTTGTTGAAATCCAGCAGGTCCTGAACCTTCAGGTCGCTGTCGTGAGCCCTTGCCTGGCTTTCCACCAGCCGGAACGCCAAGTCCATGCGGGTCGACCGCACCAGCCACTGGATCTGGCCATTGCCGCTGTGGAGCATCGCCCTCTCCTCAGCAGTGGCCTTCGCCTCCTTGTTCTTGCGACGCTCGCTCGAGATCGGTATCTTCTCGATGCTCTCGGTGTACTCCTTCTGGCTGCAGGTGATGGTGCCATCGTCGTTCTGCTTGAGGAAGCGCCCGCAGTGATGGAAGCCGGCCTTCGCCGTCTGCCACTTGCCGCAACAGTGAATCTTCCTCAGCTTGGCCACCTGATTGGCGAAGAACTCGGGCGAGCCCGCTACCAAATCATCGTCCACATGCGTCCCGATCAGGCCGATCAGCTTCCCGTGCTCGTCGTGGAAGATGAAGAGAGCCGGGCACAGCTTCGACCTTGAAGCACCGGGCAGGGACAGTATGGTATCTCGATGCTCCTCGTACCACAGCAGTGGTGCGTCGTTCAGCCCGTAGATGCCCTTCTTCGCTTTCAGCACCGTCCCCTCTGGGACCGCTGGCCAGCCCAACTCGGGCACCGCCGGCAGTCCGCCTTTCGGCGCGCGGAAGTACACGCGCCGAGAGTCGTCGAGGTACTTCCCGTTCAAGAACGCCGAGTCGACGTCGCCTTGCTCCAGCCTCCAGCCCTCCTGGCTGGCCGCCTCCTGCACGATCACCGCCGTGGCCACGTCCGTCAGCGTAGGAGCATTGGTCTTCAACTCCCCCGCGAGCAGCTGCTTGTCCTTGTAGCCCGGGACGATGTTCCTGGACTTCGCCTTGAGCGGATGCTGCTCGTACGACAAGTTGCCTCTCGTCGCCTCGTTCTTGTCCGTGCGGACGCGCCTCATGGGCAGGATCGCCGACTGGTCGACTCCCGCGAGCTCCTCGTCGGTAGGCCACTCCACGGCGTCGTACTCGACCCACTTGCGCCACTCTTCCAGGTCGCTCGCGTCGAAGGCCGCCTTCCACTCAGGTGGGATGCTGCGTAGCTCCCGGCCCTTCTTGGGCGTGACCTGCTTCTTCGGCGTGTCGGTCCTCCGAGCCAGGAACGCGTCCCTCGTGCGGTTCTTGACCTTGCTGAGCAGGGCGTCCTGGTCCGTCGGGTCGTCCTTGATCTTCGGCAGCCGCATGGAGCTGTTCTTTAGAGCTTCGCGTCGTAGTCGCATGCGTTCGCGATCTGCCTCTTGATCGTCTGGAAGCGTCCGTTTGAAGCTGAGTCGTGGTGCAGGCTCTGGCTGCTCAGCTCGATCTGGTTGTTGTTGCTGTTGATGCTGATGCGGAGTGCCTGGCGCAGTAGCCGCGTCCAGGTCCATAGATTGCCCCGGCCCAGCTGCTTCAGCAGGTGGGTCTGCAGGTTTATCCGGAGGAGCAGGTCCTCCTCCCGGTAGTGGTGGTACCTCGGGTAGGTCTCCAGGTGCAGGTACGTCCTCCTCCTTGTGCTGCTTCTTCGGCGTCGCCTCGATCACCGGCTTCGGTGGTGGTGGTGCTGGCTCGGCGCGTGGCGCCTTAGCCACAGGCGGGTCGCCCGCGTCGTCCTCGTGGTCCGAGTCCTTCTCGTCCCTCTCGCGGCGCACGCCTGTCTTGTCGCTCCCGTCAGGCCCAGGTCCACGCTCATCAATGAACCCCTTCTGTAGAGTCGGTCCTCCACGCCAGTGGGATAGCTGCCTGACCAGGTCCTCGTTCTCCACCATCTCCGCCTCGTTCCGCGAGGCGTGTCGTACCTGCTCCGGCGTCGCGAGCACCGGCACGCCGCGATAGCTGAGGTGCAGCCTCGTGTGGCCCTCGGTGGCCAACACGATCGCGGGTCCCCGCCAGCCGTGCTCACCCTGGAGCCTCTTCGACTTCACGTGCTTCACCTCGCGCCAGTAGTACACCAGCTGGCCCGGTACGAACGGCCCGCGCGGCGGGCGAACGCGGCCGACCATGGCCCTCCTGACGGCGTCGTCGCTATCCAGCTCGAAGAACGCCCGGTTCGCCGCAGCGCGTATCTGTTCTGCCCTTCTCGGTCCGTCCTCGAAGAGCGCTGCACTCTGTGCTGCCAGTTGCCGCTGGTCGCCCTCCATCGCCTCGATCAGCGAGGCCGGAACCCCGGGCGACTTGCCCAGCACGTACTGGTTTGGTGTGAAGCCGTTCCGCCGAATATGATCGTTGCACGTGCTAGCGATCACCGCTGTCCACACGTGCGGGTCGTCGTCCTTAGTGAGCTGCACGTCGCGGTTGAGGCGCTGGAAGTGGTCCTTGAAGAAGTCGATCGCTCGCTCCACTCGACCTTTCAGCTGTGGCGCCTCTGCTGGGACCGGCCTCATCAGGATGTTGTACTTGTCGCCGACCTCCACGAACCGCTTCGTGATGTGGCCCTTGGCCGCGTCGTAGTAGAGCACCTTAGGCGCACCAGCCCACGACAACCAACCTTGCGAAAAGCATCGCAAGCTCTCCTCTCCGGTGATGGACCTCACCGCTTTTGTAGGGATGATGACCCTGAAACCCGAGGCATCGTCCAGGATCACCATGACCATCAGCCTGGTCCCGTCCGAGAGGATCACCTCGGCCTCGTCCAAGAACACGTTCTGGTTGAACTCCGTCGAGAGCTTCAGGTTGGAGCTCCGTGTCGTCGTCGGTCTGCCGAGCTCCTTGCACACGACGCAGTCCAGCTTGTCCACCGCGTCCAGAACCTTCTGCGACACCCCGTAGGACTTCAGGCGTCGCTTTAGTGCGTGAGCCGAAGGGTGGCTCAGGTTCAGGTGGAGCTTCTTGAGCGCGCCCCACTGGGCCGTGGTGATGTCCGAAGGCTTGTCTCCGAAGCCTTCGCCTTCTTGCTGTAGGTCTCGATGTGCCTCGTCAGCTTCGCGGTCGTCTGGAGTGAAAGCCTTCGGCTTGCTCCCATAGATGTGCACCGTCGCAGGGTATGACGTCTGCACCTTCGGCTCGTTCACGTAGATCGCGATCACCGTGTCCGTCGGGAACCGCTTAGCCGTCTTGACCGTCGCGAAGTCCTGGTCGCCCGCGTAGGCGTCGCTGTAGTCCGCCAGCACGCCCTCGTCGGAGTACATCGCGTAGATCCTCCGTATAGCTCCACGAGGTGGTGTAATCTCCTCGGTGCCCGTCAGTACGCGCACGTCGATCAGCTCCTTCCTCAGCCTGAACGCCTTAGCCACAGCGTTCACCACCTGCTTGCTCGGGGACTTCGTCGTATTGCTCCCGATGCGCATCTCCTTCGGGCTGGTCCGTCGCGCCAGCTCGCGAGTGCCCGCAGCCACCAAGGTCTTGCCCAGGTCGTCCGGCCAGGCGCTAGCCTGTGCCAGCTCCGCGCTGCGCCCAACCATGTCGGCGTGCTTGTGGCTCCCGTCGCACTTGCGCTCGAGCCAGTCGGAAAAGCACGAACCGTTGGGCACCATCATGCGCGTCGGCTTGCGGATCGGGTCACCGTAGTTGTCCATGAGCCCGTACATGCACTGGTGCAGCGTGACCGTCTCGTAGAGCGGTGGCTTGTCACCGTGCCAGCTGAGCAGGTTCACGATCGGTGCTTCCCGCCACGCCCGGCTGGTGAGAGGGTTCTCGCCGATGCCGATGCGTCCACCTTCAGCTTGTATCTGGAGCACCTCCGCTGAGAAGCTGATCAGCGGCTCAAACTCCTGGATCAGGTCGTCCACCCGGTCGCCCATGCCCTGAGCACGTTGAAACTCTTGCATATTCGAGTGGGCGGTGCACGGGAATGCGACCGAAACCATCCAGGGCTGAAAGGTCCTGATCAAAAACAGGAAATCCGATCGCACCTTCGGGTCGTTGAAGTTCACACCTGTCGTTAAATCCGAGGGGGTCGCATTCGCGTGACCTCCCTTCGAAGCTACACGAGTAAAACGCGCCTCCTTCGCAAACAGCTCCCAGAGAAACGTCTCGTTGTTGTCGCGCAGCACATCGAATATGACCGCATACTCCTTCATTAGTTTGTCGATCCGCTTGAGCGTACTCCTCTTGAATATGCCCTTGTTGCCGTTCCTGATGGCCTCCTGGACCCACCGGTCGGCGTCGTCCTGGTGCTTGAAGTCGGGCCCCGACTGCAGCGTCTCCGCCACCAGGAACACCTCCGGCTCGCTGTGCTGGATGCTCTCGGTCCTGATGCGGAACTGTTCGAACAAGGGGTCCGCCTCGTACGACTCCAGGTCGAAGTCGAGGATGTCGATCCCCGCGTGACCTCCGGGCAGCTTCATCAGCTCCATGTCGTACAGGCCCAGCTCCTCGAAGTCGGCCCACTGGCCGTCCTCGCGTAAGTAGAGGTTCGTCTTCCAGTCCGCCAGGTTCTTCTTGCTCGTCAGGCCGATCATGTCGCCAGGGATCTCGAAGTACTCCTGGATCACGTGCACCTTGCCGATCCCGATCGGCATGATCCACTTCTTCTTGGCCTCGCGTCGTGCGCCGCCGAGTCCCTTGAACTTCTGGACGGCGTCCACGATGATCGGCTCGAGGCCGTACTTCGCCAGCTCCGTCTTCTGCTTGTCCAGCCAGCCGCGCCCGGCCACCGCCACGGTGGCCCCGCTGTCCAGCAGGGAGGCCGAGACGATCTCGCTCGAGATCATCACGTCGACCTCGGGAACGTCGGGCAGGCGGTAGTCGCTCTCGGTGTCGATCATCATGATGTCGTGCTCGGTGGACTCCTCGACCTTCACCGTCGCGACCTCCTGGCTCTCGACGCCCCCGTTGCTGAACAGGTCCGGCATGACGCACACCAGCGTCGTCATGGCCCAGAAGCCCAGCCGTCGTGGACGTCCTGCCTTGCTCGTCTTGCCGCGGCCCTTGAGGCCCTTGCTCGCCGGTCGGCCGGAAGCTCTTGGCGTCGTGCAGTCCTGCGTAGCGTGATCCATCCTGCCGCAGTTGCCGCACTTCTTCTCCTTTGACTTTCCTTTGTCCTTGCCTTTGCCGCCGCCTTTGCTTCCCTTTCCGGCCGCCTTGCCGCCGGCCGCCGCACTCTCGTCCACGACTCCGTCGATCTTGCCTTTGAAGAAGCCGCGTGCCGCCCTGATCTTGTTCATCTTGAAGCGGCTCTCGCGCAGCGTGACGAGGGCCTGGTGGTAGTCGTCGTCCTCATTCGCGAGGTACGCGTCCGCGCCGTCCTCGATGTAGAACATGTCGCTGTTGTCCCACTCGTAGTCGTCGTCCTCGAGGGCCGCGTAGGTGCCGCGCTCCTCGTCCCACTCGTACCAGTACCCGTCGTCGTCCTGGACCCAGTACTCGTCGAACGTGTCGTCTTCGTCCGCGGTGGGATCGCCGTCCGCGTAGTTCGCCCAGCGCCAACCGGCGCGAGCCTGTCGCTCTCGGTGCTTGCCTCCGCCACGGGGGAAGAGATTCTTCAAGGTCGTGCTGATCTTCTGGAAATCGAATGTCTCCTCCGCCCGGGCGATCACTAAGTTGCGCTCGTCTTTGTCTAAGCCGCTGCGCTTCAGCGTGTGGTAGCCCAGCTCGTTGGAACTTATCTTCGTGTCCGGGTCGACCTCCTCTAGGTTCCGCTTCGCTACCTCCATCGCCGTGCAGAACGCTGCCATAGGTTCTTCACCCTTGCGCTCGAAGTGCGTCTGGTCGAAGAACTGATCGAACGCCTTCGGCAGCTCCCTGAAGCTACTCTTGGCGAAGCGCTGGTCCTCTAGGTACTTCAGCAGCACTCGAGCGCCTTCCTCAGTCGCGTAGTCCTTCGGATCCGACTGCTCGATCAGCACACTGATCGAGTTGTCCGCGCCCAGCAGGTTGCGGTACAGCTTCGGTCCGAGCGCTCTCTTCTGCTCTGAGCTCTCACAGCTCAGCTCCGCGGCCTGCACCGCACGCTTGTACCGGGTGAAATCCTTCAGCGTCTCGCCCTTCAGCACCGGTATCTTGGGATCCACCGCGTTGTTGTAGTCACTTGCCATGGCCACACACGTCACTCGATGGGATGGCTAGTCCCGCTCGGTAGTCTGGAGTCGGTGGGGCCAACCACTCGCTCCGCTGCCAACCTCGTTCTCGTCAGAACTTATCCCCGAGCGTCTCCCTCGGACACTGGGGTTCGTCACCAGCTCGAACTCGATCGATAGTGCCGACAGCCGCTATCGCCGCCCCCACCCGATGCCACTGCCGTGGGAGGGAGCCGCACACTTTTAGCTCGAGCCCAAGCGCCGGCGCTGCACACACGCGTGTCAAACTGTTCATCACACAGAATCTACAGGAACTGAACTGAACCCCGCCCTGCCCTGCCCTGGGTCTGGACGGACGGAGGGGGCGGGGGGCGAGCGGGCAGAATGTCTGATTTGGTCCTGAATGGATCCCATATGGTCCCAGGGAGTCCAAGAAGGCTCCAGGATGGCCTCAGGAGACCTAGATTGTCCCAAGCAGCCCACAATGGCTCCAGGATGGCCCCAGGCAGCCCAAGTTGCCCCTGGATGGCTACGAGACGGCCCCAGGCAGCCCCAAGAGGGCCTCCAACATGGCACACATTATGGCCTGCTGCCGCCCGCGGCGGCCCGCCTGGCGGGAGCAGCTGCCTCTCCCGACGCCACGCCCCAGGGCCCGCCTCGTTGGCGTGGCGCCCGCCACCAAGGGGGGGCACAGACGCAGAGAAGCCGAGCTAGAGCGAGTTTTTTTTTATGTTTGGAGGTAATGGGCGTAATAAGGGGGAGGGGCGGGGGGGTATAATGTAACGCCCTCCCCCCTGCTGTGTGGCTCCGGCACCACAGTCGCGCCCGCGCGCACGACAACGATCAGCGACGAGCGACGAGCGACGAGCGGCGACGACGACGACGCGAGCAGCATGTAGGTGGCGACCTGCCCACAACGCATGTGTGCATCACAATGCTCGCGTGCACCACAACGGGCGTATACACCACAGTGCCTGCGTACACCGCAACAGCCGTGTGCGACGCAGCGCCTGTGTACACCACAGTGCTTGTGTGCACCACAGCGCCGGTGTACACCACAGCGAATGTGTAACACCGCAGCAACCATGTGCAACACAGCGCCTGTGTACACCACAAAGCTGGCGTGCACCGCAGCACCTGTGCACACCACAGCGCCTGTCTACACCACAATGCTCGCGTGCACCACAGCGTGCGTGTACACCACAGTGCCTGCGTACACCGCAACAGCCGTGTGCGACGCAGCGCCTGTGTACACCACAGTGCTTGCGTGCACCACAGCGCCGGTGTACCCCACAGCGAATGTGTAACACCGCAGCAACCATGTGCAACACAGCGCCTGTGTACACCACAAAGCTGGCGTGCACCGCATCGCCTGTGCACACCACAACGCCTGTCTACACTACAGCATCCGCGTGCACGCAGCGCTGGTGTACACCACAGTGCCTGCGTGCATAGGACAGGTAAAACGAGCATGTAGGTGAGGACCTGCTGCGGACAGCTAAACGCCACGCCAGAGAAGTGCTGAGAGTAGAATGCGACGTTCTTCCCTCCTCCCTCCTCCGCCGCCTCCACCTCCACCTCCACCTCCTCCTCCTCCTCCTCCCTATGCGGACCCCATGAGATTCCCAATGCGGCCGAGGCTCCTATGCGGACTTCTACGCGGACGTCGACAGAGATCCGGATGAGTAATTACGGCGGCAGTGCCCGGAGCGCACTGTGGGGGGGGGTGTTACGTTGGCAGGGGGGGCGGGGGCTATAATGTCCATTATGCCCCAAGCAATAAAGAAACACGCTCCTAGTGTGGCGGTGGTGTATAATGTACTCCTACAGTAGGTTCGCGCGGCGTCGGCGCGCGCACAGGTTTTTGACACCGCATCGATCGTTCAAACTTGAACCGATCGCGGCCCCGATCATTCAAGGCTGAATTCTGTCGGGTCCCGTGGCATTACACCGTGTCCCTCAATGCTTCCGCGTCGTTCGATCGTGCGGAGTTCACCGCACGAACCCACCGTATGGCACCTCATTTTGCGCATCGCTCTCCACGACGCGAGACTGCCTCGGCGCCTTCGCCCCGCGGGCCTGGATAAGGGCAGCCGTGGGGCCCAGGCCGCGACGCGCTGCGCGCCACATGACCTCCTTGCCCCTCGTGCGGATGAGCTCGAGGTACTCCCACCACGCAGGAGTTCGCACTAGGTTCGGTGGTTCAGAGATGGGGTCCTGAGGAATGGGGTCCTGAAGACGAGTGTTTCAAGCAACCTTTGGATCCATTCGTATTCTTAGGACCCCATCCCTCAAGACCACATCCTTGAACCATCGACAGATACCCCACCCGCGACTATACCCCACCTGCCCCACACTAAACGATTACACGTCGGTCGGAAGAAGTATTACGTCGGGCCTGTCCTTTTACAGTCCTACAGGGGGATTTTGGACGAAAAATGAACCATAGTCAGAACATACCCCAACATGGCAAACAAATACTCAACAACTCGTCCCCAGACTCTTTTTTTTATACTATTTTTCAACATTCCTCCTGTAGAGGGACAGGCCCGACTTAAAAAAAGTAGGCAAAAACATACAAGAGGAAGGCGGACAAAGTAGATTGGGTTCAGGCCCTCCGAAAGAATAGCACCACACAACAAAATCAGATGGAACTTGAAGCAAGACGGCGCTTGAAGTAGATTGGGATCTGGAACCCACAAATACCTACTTTCAACGACAGGCGTGTCTATACCCCACCCCACCTGCTCCACACAACACCATGATGATTATTGCGACATAAGGAAAGAGGTTTAATTTCGGAAACGTGCCCAGAGCTGTTTCACATGCAGCCCGAAGTCCGCTGGGAACTTTGGGCACCAGTGGCAGTGTCTGTGAAGCCCCAGGAGGGCCATGATCATCCAAGTGCCCTGGGCCATGTAAGGGCAAAGCGGGTCAGGCCATGGCCTCGCCAAGTGGCTGGTGGGCTGCGAGCTCACTCAGACAGCCAGCGTCGCGCAGTGATGGGAACCGGTATCTGCAGAAAAGCTAAGCATCCAGGCCAGGATGGCAATGCGGGCACCTCTTGGGGGTCAGCGCCACTCATCTGCGACGGGTTCATAACGCGGACTTGTGAGGTGGTGTCTGAGACCGCGCAGATCGATCAGGCTGGAACGGTCCTGGATTGCTAATAGCGCGGATCGTTCGATGTCGACTGGTTCCAAGGGCCGCTGGCGGCCTTCAAGATCGGATCGGACCACACCGGCACCAAAATCGGAATCGAATCGGATCGGCTGCGCCAGGATGCACAGCAACGCCACGCAAGCATCAGGCCGCACTGGACCGTCGGCACATCGGCATCGAGTCGGGCCAGCCAGAAAATCGACGCTGCATCGGACCGCTGGCCTCGGAGTGGGCCCTGTCGGTTGGTCGTCGGGGCACAACTCGGCTCTTCGGCGGCCGCTCGGCACGATCCGGGCACCCCCAAAAACTCGGGGGCGTCCAAGAGGGGGGCGTCCAGGAGGGGGGCACAAATCATGGCCCGCGGCATGTGCGCGCTGGGGACGTAATGAAGCAAAAGAGGCGCCATGAGATCTGGGGAGAGAGCATTGCCACCGCCATGAGACCCCCCCCCAGTCATCACCCCCTCTGGCCAACCCCGAAAAACGCCGTCGGCGCGGCGCAGCTGCTGAGTACTCCGAGGCTGGGAAACCGCCGAGGGCAAACCTCGGGTGGCGGCCAGGAGGGCGGGGTTGTCCAAGAGGGGCGGGGCGCAGCATCATGGCCAGCGGCACGTGCGCGGCCGAGAGGGGGGGGGGCGGGGACGCATTGAAATGAGAACAAGCCGCCGTGAGATCTGGGGAGATTTCACGGCCCCCGCTATGATGTCCCCCCCACCCCAAACATCACCCTCCTCTTTGCCGTCCCCGATAACCGAATTGTTCGCAGACCTCGAGCCTCGAAACGGGAGGAGAACGGGAGGAGCAGGAGGAGGAGGAGGAGGAGGAGGAGGAGGAGGGGGAGGGCCCTCCAGAGGGAGGAGGAGGAGGCGGAGGAGGAGGCGGAGGAGGCAGAGAAGAAGGAGGATTGGTGGGGCGGGTGGTGCCGCGCCGCGCGGCGCAGGGCGATCGCCAAAAAGGGGAGGCACGGGCTCCCCATAGCATAGCCCCCGCGACAAAGCGGCTCTCGTCCGCGGCGTCCTCGCCCGGGCGCTGCGCAAACAGCCGGAGCTCCCCGTCGTCGCCGGGCCTCCTGCGGCCGGGTCGAAGAGGGAGCAGAAGAACTCGGCGGCGAGCGAGGAGGGGAAGGGAGAAGGAGAAGGCCTTCTCAGCAGGCGGCGGGACTTCTCAGAAGCCCTGGCGCCTTCTGAGAACTTGTTTCGGAAGGCTCAAGAAAACTTCTCAAAAGGCCGGGGGACTTCCGAACCTTCTGGGAAGGACTTTTCCTTCTCACTTCCCCCCCTCGCTCGCCGCCGAAAAACAGCAGACTGCACTCGAACTCATATCTCGCGCCAGAGGCCGCCAGCCGGCCCCCAGCGGCTTTCCAGGAGCCCCAGGAAGCCCAACAACTTCTGGACGCAGGCCCCCAAGAGACCCCGAGAGGCCCCAGGACAGACCACAACCCGCCCCGAAGAGGCCTCGGAGAGAGAGGCTTCCCAAGAGATCCCCGCAGGCATCCTGAAGGCCTCTTACTAGAGGCCTCCTAAATAGGGTCCAAGTGGATGGGGTCGGAGGATCGCGCTGCATCGCCGTGGCCCAAGACGGCCCAAGAGGCCACCAATAGGCCTCCAAGACTGCCCAAAAGGCGTCTAGGAGGTCTTCCAGGAAGGCACGCAAAAGGTTTTGACAGATTTTGGCATGTGCTTCTTCTCGGCATTCCGATGCCTCAAGATGGCGTAAGAGGCCCCCAAGATCACCCAAGAGGCATGACGGCCCAAAAGGCTACCAAGACGGCCCCCAAAGGACCCCCAAACGGCCCAAGAAGCCTCCAAGACGCCCACGATGGCCGCAACCCCTGATATGCCCCAAGAGGGCCCCAAGACGACTGACCCAGACAGGCCCCCAAGACGGCTTCCGACGGCGTCAGAGCCAGGAACGCCCTAAGACGGCCAAAGATGCCCCCAAGAAGCCCTCAAAGGCCCCCCCAACCCTCGAAAGAGCGATACTCAAGAAAAAATCGCTCAGCAACCGCCGGGAGGGGGGTCCCAAAAAGGAGAGGGACCCCCCCCCCTCCAGCCGAGCAGTGGAGGGGAAGAGAGGGAAAGAGGGAGCCCCCCCCCAGGCACACCCGGCACTCGAGGCTGTCTTCGCTCCCACGCACTGGAAGGAGGGGACCCCCACCCCACCGGCACACCCGGCACTCGAGGCTGTCTCTCGCTCCCGCGCACTGGAAGGGGAGACCCCCCCCGGCGCACCTGGCACTCGAGCCCGGTCGTCGCTCCCGCGCACTGGAAGGGGGTGACCCCCCCCCGCCCCGGCACACCCGGCACTCGGGGCTGTCTCTCGCTCCCGCGCCCTAGGAGGCCCCCCCCACTCCCCCCTGCACTCGAACCTCGCTCTTTCCCCCGCGCCCTGGAGAGGAACGTCCCGCCGTCGCTCGACGTCTTGTACGACGCCGTCGTCGTCCTCGGCGTCGTCGCCGCCGTCGCCGTCATTGTCGCCGTCTACGTATGACCGTATGACCTCGTCGTGGTCGTCACGACGAAAACAAGGTCATACGACGACGGCGACGGACGACGGACGACGCACGACCGACGACCGACGACGACGACGACGACCCAGGGTCAGAGAAAACGAGACCACGACCCAGGGGTTAAGAAAGCGAAAAAACGAAACAGGGTCCGATAAAACGAAACCACGGCCCGGGGGCCGAGAAAACGGGAAAACTAACCAGCGCCAGAGAAAACGTACCCGCGTCCGAGAAAACGAGACCACGACCCAGGGGCCGAGAAAACCAAAAACGAACCAGGGTCCGAGTAAACGAGACCATGACCCAGGGTCCGATAAAACGAGAAGACGAGAAAACAAACCAGTGCCCGAGAAAACGGAACCACGACCAAGGGCCCGAGAAAACTAGAAAACAAGACAACAAACCAACGCCCGAGAAAACGAGAACACGGCCTAAAGCCGAGAAAACGAAAAAACTAACCAAGGCCAGAGAAAACAAAATAAACACCCACAAGCCGAAAAAACTAGAAAACGAGGCAATAACCAGGGTGGGAGAAAACGAGGTAACGACCCAGGGGCCGAGAACACGAGAAAACGAAAAAACAAACCAGAGTCAGAGAAAACGAAACTTCGGCCCAGGGACCGAGAAAACACGAATACCGGTCCGAGACAACGAGACCACGACCCAGGGGACGAGATCAGAGAAAGCAAAACCAAGACCCAGGGGCAGAGAAAACGAGAAAACAAACCAGTGCCCGAGAAAACGAAACCACGACCAAGGGGCCGAAGAAACTAGAAAACAAGACAACGACCGAGCGCCCGAGAAAACGCGAACGAGACCCAGGAGCCGAGAAAATGAGAAAACGAGAAAACCAAACGGGGTCCGAGAAAACGAGACCACGACCCAGGGGCCAAGAAGACGCTAAAAACGAGAAAACAAACCAGGGTGTGAGAAAACTGGACCACGACCCAGGGGCCCAGAAAACAAAAAAACGAGGAAACGAACCAGGGTCCGAGAGAACAAGACCACGACCCAGGGGACAATAAAACAAACAACAAAAAAAAATCAGAGGGGCGTGCTAAGATCTCCGGTACCTGGTTAACAGTATTTCTAGTTCGCGCGCGCGGGGAGGCCCCTGGGGGTCCCCGGACGAAAAGTACCCCGGCAAGGTCCCGGCAAGTCCCCAGCAAGGTCCCGGCAAGGTCGGGTCAGAGATGCCGGAGTTCTGTTTCGGAGTCCAAGGGCTCCAGATCGGTCCAAGAGGGCCCCGAGAAGCTTTCTAGACGGTCCAAGAGAGGCCCGAGACGGCCAAAGATCGCCCGAAGACGCCCCAGATGGCCCCAAGACAGCCCAAGAGGCCTCCAAGACGCTCCAAGGGCCTTCCAAGAGGCCTCCGAAGAGGGCCCCAAGTTGCCAAAATCGTTGATTTTCATTGGTTTTTTCGATGTTGTTTTGCGTTCTGGCCTTTTCGCTTCCGGACGCTCCAAGAGGGCCCAAGAGGCCTTCAAGACTGCTCCAAGACGGCCCACGAGGCTCCCAAGACGGCCCCGGAGCGGCCCAAGAGCGCCCCCCAGACGGCCCAAGTGCTGCCCAAGGCGGACCAAGAGGCCCCAAGACGGGCCCAAGAGGGGCTCAAGAAGGGAACCGAGAACTGAAAAATCGAGCCCTCCGCCCCAGAAGGCGCCCAGGACCCCGAAAGAGGCCCCAAGAGACTCTCCAAGACACCCCCAAGACGCCCCAATAAGCTCCCGTGAGGCCCCAAGAGGACCAACAACGTCAGGCCCCAGGCCCCAAGAGGACCAACAAATACCGCCAAGAGCCCGCCGAAAGCCCCCCAAGAGACCGTCACGAGAGCTCAGGAGGCCCCCTGGAGGCCTCCCGAGTTCTCCAAGAGGCCTAAAAAGAGGCGCCAAGAGGCCCCAAACGGCCCCACCGAGGCTCCAAGAGGCCACGAACGCGCAAGCAAACGCCTGCGATGGCACAGTACGGGCCGGCGGAATGAGCGAAGCGATTAAATAAAACAAACAACAAAAAAAGGATCAGAGAAAACGAGACCACGACACAGGAGCCAACGAGAAAACAAGACAACGAACCAAGGTCAGAGAAAGCGAATCAAACACCCAGGGGCCGAGAAAACAAGAAAACGAACAAAACGAAACAGGGCCCGAGAAACCGAGACCACGACCCAGGGGCAGAGAAAACAAAAAACGAGACCACGATCCAAGGGCCGAGAAAACGAGACTACGACCCGGGGGCCGAGAGAACAGGAAACCGAGAAAACAAACCAGCGTCCGCGAAAACGAGCCCACGATCCAGGGGCCGAGAAAACGAGAAAACGAACCAGGGTCAGAGAAAACAAAACCACAATCCAAGGGCCGAGAAACGGAGAACGCGAGAAACCGAACCAGGGCCCGAGAAAACGGGACCACGATCCAGGGGCCGAGACAACAAAAAACGAACCAGAGTCAGAGAAAACGAGAACAGTGGCCGAGAAAACGAGAAAACAAGACAACGAATCAACGCCAGAGAAAACGAGAACACGACCCAAGAGCAGAGAAAATGCGAAAACGAGAAAACCAAGCGGGGTCCGAGAAAAGGAGACCACGACCAAGTGGCAGAAAAAACGCGAAAACGAAACAACAAACCAAGGTTCGAGAAAACGGGACCACGACCACGGGGCCGGAAAACAAGAGAGGAACCGAACCAGGGTCCAAGAGAACACTACCACGACCCAGGGGACAGTAAAACAAACAAGCAAAGAAAAACAGGGTCAGAGAAAACGAGACCACGACCCAGGAGCCAAGAAAACGAGAAAACAAGACAACGAACCAGGGTCCGAGACAACGATTCCAAAAACCTAGGGGCAGAGGAAACGAGGAAACGAAAAAAAAACAAAGCTGGGCCCGAGAAGCCGAGACCACGACCCAAGGGCAGAGAACACACAAAAACGAGACCACGAACCAAGGGCCGAGAAAACGAGACTACGAACCAAGGGCCGAGAAAACGGGAAAACGAGAAAACAAACCAGCGTCCGCGAAAACGAGACAACGACCCAGGGGCCGAGAAAACGAGAAAACAAACCAGGGTCAGAGAAAACAAAACCACAATCCAGGGGCCGAGAAACGGAGAACGCGAGAAACCGAACCAGGGTCCAAGAAAACGGGACCACGATCCAGGGGCCGAGAAACCAAAACACTAACCAGGGTCAGAGAACAGGAGAACACGCTCCAAATGCCAAGAACACGAGAAAACGAAACAATTAACCAGAGTCCGTGGATATAAGACCACGACCCAGGGGCTTAGGACACGAGAAAACGTGACAACGAACCAGAGTCCGAGGAAATGAGACCACGACCCAGGGGCCGAGACAACAAAAAACGATACCACGAACCAGGGCCCGAGAAAACGACACAAAAACCCACGAGCCGAGAAAACGAACAACACGAGATAACGAACCACGGTCCGAGTAAACGGGACCACGACCAAGGGGCAGAGAACACGAGACAACGAGAAAACAAACCCACGCCTGGGAAACCGAAACCACGACCCAAGGGCACAGAAAACGCGAAAACGAGAAAACAAGA